TAAACGGCATGTGGTGTACCGGAAGAAGAGCCACTCGAGAAGGGCGTAGCGTTCCATGCCGGCGAAGAGGAGGGACTGAGCAGCCGCATTGGCCCTGGGATAATTCAGCATCGCCAGCTTCCTCTGTATCTCTTCCATTTGTCTTGCGGCCATTTGCGAACTCCGTACGTACACTTGGACTGAGATCCAAAATCGGCACAAAATGTTTTGGTGAATTTTGGGGTTTTAGTTGGGATGTTTGAATCGATCAACAATTTGAGATTTCCATTTTTGATTTGATAATTTATTTTGAATTGTTTAATTCGCTAATGATGGAGGGACTCTTTTTCTTTTGCCACGGAATTTTCGTTGGGCCAAGATAAAACAAACTGAAACCACTATCATGAGGCCCAAATCCCAATCTACTCCAAATCCACACGGGGAGCGTTTTCTATACACTCAAATATATTCAACACAAATTAAGTGTGCCAAAACTATTCATTTTTATATATACAAAGTGATTTTTAATTTTCATTTTATATAAAGAAACTAAAGTGATTTCGCACTTCTTTTTTACCCATGCACTCATTTATTTTATTTTTTTAGCTTCTGAATTGAATAAATTAAAAAAAAACTTGGTAGAAAAAAAAAAGAAGAAATGAGTCCTAAAATACAAAATGAAAATCCTTAGTAAATAAATCAGTTCCTTACCAGCCACTTTGGCGTTTCTGACAAAGTTGATGCTGTGAGGGTGCGTTTGGTACGCAGACGGGACGGAACGGGACGGGACGGGACGGAACGGGACGGGACGGGACGGAACGAAGGTGTAATTTTTGAAAAAGACATGGGGTATATTTGTCTTAAAATGGTAAAACATTGTGTTCCACAGACGTGGAACAAACCCGTTCCAGGGGGTGGAGGTGGGACGCAAAAACACCCAAAATCTGTCCCGTGGAACAAACCGTTCCACCCATTTTTGGCGCACCAAACGCGGGACGGAACGCCTCGTCCCGTTCCGTCCCGTCCCGTCCCACGTACCAAACGCACCCTGAAGTAACTAGGACACCGACAGAGTTGAAAGTTAAAGTGATTCATTTTTGCCTTTGAAAATGAACTCCATGAGCTAAAGTTGTTTTGCTTTTGAAAATAAGAAAAACTAATGAAAAGAGCTTAAAAACTTTGAGTTTTAATGATAAGAACAAAATAAAGGGTAAAATGAATAGTACCAGAATTGACTTTTTAGTGTAAAAATATGGTTTTTCGTTAAAGTGAACCGTACCAGGTGCTTTTCGTTAAAGTTCACTTGAAAATATAATACAAATCTCACATTGTTCCCTGAAGTTGAAAGTTTTTTTTTTTTTTTTTTTTTTTGTCAAACGATAAATTTTATTAGATTAGATGTTAGATTAGCCACCGACAGAGTTGAAAGTTAAAGTGATCCATTTTTGGCCTCTTAACTGGTGTTTCACGTCCCATTTTACCCTCACTCTTAAGTTCGTTAACTATTCGGCCGAAAGAGTAATGTTAAGGAGACTTTCTCAAAAGTATGACTCTCTATGGACTCTTTACCACATCATGTTTTTGGCATAATATTTTATAATATTGGAACGAAAATTAAGTTAAACTGTGAGGAGACAGAGAGTCTATAGAGAATTTCACTTTGAGAAAATCTCCTTAGCATTTCTCTCAGCTAAAATTCCTAACGTGGCATAAAACGGCCCATTGTTAATAAACGAAATTGCTCTAAAAAAGATAAAAGAATATTCATCTATGTACTAGTTGTAATAAGGGAAGGACCTTTCCCTTTGGGGTAGGAAAATCACGATCGAGATAGCGGACCCAAAGCTATGAAATTTGAGTGTGGGTCTTTTGTCGAAATGCAAGGCCTTATTTTTTCTTTTTATCTATTTATTGTATGTACTAGTTGTAAGGGAGGATTTTCCCTATAACCAATGCTTTGGTCAACTGCTTCTAAGTAGGGTTGTAAAAAAACCCGAACAAATAGAAATCGAATTGAACCGTACTCAAAATCGCTCTATAAAAATACCGAACTACCAATACCAAATAATTCAGTAACCAATTACCCAAAAAACTCTAATAATTCAATATGGGAATCGGGACATAAGTTCGATAATACCATACGAAACCGAACAAACAATAAATATCTATATATATGTATGTTTTATTAATTATTATTATTATTATTATATATTTGAAGTATTTGTGACTGTTGGATTTGATTGGAATTGAATTTGAATTATTCGTAAAAACTAACTCTACTCACTCGTAAGTCCTTCCCAATTCCGTTTCTCTCTCTTGACTTCAACTCTCCATCTCTGTTTTTTCTCTAGCTACACCACACTACACAGACCTCTAAATTTATCTTCTTTGGCGACTCTGACTCCCTCCCCTTGTTTCTTCTCAACTCCGACTCCCTCTGACATGACTCAATCTAGATATCCATATGGAAATCTAAATCAAGCCGTGTTGGGCAAAGACCATAAAGTGATGCATGCCAAAACATGCATAAAGGATATAAAAATATAAGTTCAAAGTAGGGCCTACAAAAATTTTGGCATAGTTAGCCGTTATAACAATTAGACATCAAATCTAGCACATGAAACTCGACATGTTTCAACATGTAGGATGCTCACAAGGCAGGTATAAAGCTACAAGGGCTGAACTCAGATGTACTCTGGTTACTGTTTAGTTATTTGTATGGCAAACATTCAACTATAACATAGTGCTCAAACATCAGTTTAGCAAAATAATAATATAACTACAATATTATTTCTTTATTTTGGGATGGAAATCTACTTAAAGAAACACACTAAAAGAAGAGAGAGAAAGAGCGCTAACTTAAGCTTGGAGACTTACTTGAATATGCACAGTTGAACTTTTATTGATATACAAGAGTTTGCAAAGGAAGTGTTTACAAGAGAGCAATAAAGATTAATACAAGAGATTAAATGACGTGAAAGATTTTATGTGTGTTTACTACTAAATACGATCCTCTTTTCTACACTTTTGAAGTTGCCTTCAAGAAAAAAATGCTATAGTGAGAGGACATTTGGGGTTATCCACACACGTGTCACTTTTAGTAGCGTAATAATTGTTTTTGCAGAAAGAAACTATTCTTCTGGAATTTTAAAACAATGGGGGCCATAATTTCCCCGAAAAAAAAAAAAAAACTTCATTAGACTATTTCGTTGAGCTCCTAGTAGGTACCTACCGTGTTATAAGAGTTACGAGTCCCATATTGGGTTCGCAAGGCCCAAACCTTGCGCTACATCTTGGCAATGTACAGTCAAAATTGTACTCTCTAAGGAACTGTCGATTGTAAGAGCAATTCCACCCATGTGGACTTTGCGCCAGCACCCAGCGCATTTATCCACTCAAATGAACAGTAATATACTGGAGTGAACAGTAATAGGCCAAGGCATCTCCACCCCTAAAAAAATGCGCTGGCACCCAGCGCATTTATTTGGTGTGTTTTTTTTTTAAGTTTATTTCGGATAAGATTTTTAACCCATTTAAAATAAAGAATAAAAAAATAAAATAGTTTTAATTTCGGATAGGATTTTTAACCAATCTCGTCACGCCACGTGTCATTATCTGAACGTACTATTTTGTGAATAGATTTCCGATATTATTTTCAACCAATCCCGACACGCCACGTGTCACTTCCATGGTACAATAATTTAGCCAAGATTTCGATAAGATTTTCAACCAATCACGTCATGCCACGTGTCATTATCCGAACGTACTATTTTGTGGATAGATTTTCGATAATATTCTCGACCAATCCTGACACGCCACGTGTCACTTCCGGTTTACAATAATTTAGCCAAGATTTCGATAAGATTTTCAACCAATCACGTAGTGCCTTGTCCAGAACCTCATCCTTTCTTTTTTTGTCCATATAAACCCTACATCCCTACATCCATCCTCACACCAAGCTCAATCCTTCTTTTTAGCTCAGAATCCTTGTTCATCATTTTCAAATCTTGAGTTCTTATTACAATGTCTTCTTCAAGAAGGGTGTATAAGCAGTTGCAAGAGCTTGACTAGTTCTGGCGTTTTCTCCATGTACATCACAAAACGTTTTCGTAATTTTACTCCACATCTCTCGCTTATCCATCTCATTACCCGTAATCGGATCATGAGTAGTGTGAACCCAACATTCACACAACGTAACATCTTCAATGAGCTTCCACGAAGACATTTTTTTCTCTTAAAGTGTAGAAAATATTGAAATGTAGATAGTATAGAAAGTGTAGAAAATATTGGAATGTGGTGTAAAGGTAGAAGATGAGGGTTAGGTATTTATAGGAAAAAAAATTAACATTTTTCAAAATTTTCTGTATTTTTTAATAATTTTTAATGAATTTTAATATAGTTAATTAATCTGGACCGTTGGATTTGAAAAATATTCAAATCCAAGAGCTAGGGAGTTGCCACGTGGCCAACGGTCATATTTCTGACCGTTGGGCCCTTTTTTTTTTTTTTTAATTTACTTTTTGTGAAAAAAACGTGGACCGTTGATCTTTGATCCGACGGTCTAGTTTAAAAGTAAAATTTAAAATTTTTTTACCGTTGGAAATCCAACGGTCTAGAAAACTAGCCGTTGGAAATCCAACGGCAGAGAGGTAGCCACGTCGCAACTCGGGGGGGGGGGGACTGACAGCGCCTGCACGTGGGCCCCGGCGTCTGAAAGCTTGTCGGGCACTCGCCAAACGGCTGCGTGAAGTGCACGCGCCAGGCTTCTTCCCCGGCTTCTGTCTCAATCTCTTTTGGGCTGGGCTCTTGCCCAGCTCGGGCTGGGTACCAGTCAGTTTGTTGGGGTGGACTTGATTGACAGAGGCCTGGCTTGGTTTTTGGACTGGAGGCTGGGACATTTGGTCCCCGGTGGAATTGCTCTAAAAATGCAGAATTCGCTTGAGTTATAATTACTTGACATTTTCATTCAATAAAGTCGGTCAAGAGCCAAACTCGGCGGCCTACGGAAGAGCCTGATTTCTAGGCTCGGGCCTATTCTCGCAAAAGTGCCTTCTGTCCCAACAAAATATCTTACGCAGCATATGCCAAACTGAAAAGGAATTTATAAAATCAAAACCAGAGGATTAGGAAGCACTCGGGTCCTCCTCAAATCTCCAAACCCTGCGCATTTATATTGTACTTGCAGAATCTCTGCCCCTCTCTCTCTCTCTCCTCTCTCCTCTCTCCTCTCTCTCCACAACCACAGCCACAGCCAATTGCCACAACACCAAATGCTTACCTTGAATATCAGTTGTCCTTCTTCCCCTGTCACTTTCTCCAAATCCCGCCGTCAAGTCCCCTCTATTAATGCCCCCTCCTCCCCCTCCCCCTCCTCCTCTTCACTTCTCACTCGAATCCAAACGCACTCATATCCTCTGCACCAAAAACTCACCTCTCTTAGACCCCAAACATCCCCCAAATTCTCCAAATTCTCAAGCTTTACCAGAATCTATGGCTACCCATTTGGAATTTCTTCAAAAGAAACAAAACCCATGGGCCAGATTCGAGATTCGAGCTCAAAGATCAGCCATTTGAGCGAAGCCTTTGAATTCCCATCTGGGTTTGGGAGAAAACCCAGGTCCCAAATCCCAAAAGCTGCTTCTGAATCCAATACAGGAAGAGAAACTGAAGCTACAGTCTCAAAGCCCAAGGCCACCACCGCCCAGCTCGCGCTTATTTTTGGGCTATGGTACTTCCAGAACATTGTCTTCAACGTCTACAACAAGAAGGTACTGAATGTCTTTCCATATCCATGGCTTCTCGGATCTTTTCAGCTCTTTGCTGGGTCTGTTTGGATGTTCATTCTTTGGTCTTTGAAGCTCCAACCCCGCCCGAAAATTTCTAAACCCTTCTTTGTTGCACTCCTTGGACCTGCATTGTTCCACACTATAGGCCACATTTCAGCATGTGTCTCGTTCTCTAAGGTGGCGGTTTCTTTCACCCACGTAATCAAATCGTCGGAGCCTGTTTTTTCAGTAATGTTTTCGTCGTTCCTAGGCGATTCGTACCCTTTACAGGTCTGGCTTTCAATCCTCCCTATTGTTATGGGTTGTGCTCTTGCTGCTATTACTGAGGTGTCATTCAATGTGCAAGGCCTTTGGGGTGCTTTGATTAGCAATGTCGGGTTCGTGTTGAGGAACATTTACTCGAAACGTAGTTTACAGAACTTCAAGGAAGTAGATGGGTTGAACTTGTATGGTTGGATCAGTATAATTTCGTTCTTCTATCTGTTTCCCGCCGCTATTTTCCTTGAAGGGTCTCAATGGGTTCAAGGATATCACAAAGCTCTTGCAGCTGTAGGAAAACCATCCACATTGTACCTATGGGTGTTGCTATCTGGAGTGTTTTACCATCTCTATAACCAATCATCGTATCAAGCTCTTGATGAAATTAGCCCCTTGACCTTTTCAGTAGGAAACACAATGAAGAGAGTGGTGGTAATTATATCGACTGTGTTGGTGTTCAGAAATCCAGTTAGACCTCTTAATGCACTTGGATCCGCCGTTGCAATATTTGGGACTTTCTTGTATTCGCAGGCTACAGCTAAAAAGAAAAAGGGAGGTGAAAGGAAGGATTGAATATAATTTTTACTTGGTCTGCTTTAGGTGTCTTATTTTTTGGCCTGGTAAAATTTGTGATTTTGCTTTGGTTTGTTCTACAGCTATCAAGTTTTAATAATGGCTCAGGTTTCATATCATCGTTTCTTCCCCCTTGAATTTAAGCTTGCGTCCGTGTGTGTTACCGATGAATGTATGCTAGGATTGATGAGGCCTTTATTCTACCTGTTCACTTGTTACCTGATTCGAATGATTTAGTTTTGATGTTTATTTGAGCCTAGAGACCTAGGAAGTTGAGTGCAGGATAGTTGTGCAGCACCTGAGACTATGAAGGTTGGGAACGCAGATTACTTGTAAGGTGGTAGTTTAGCGTTCCTATATTTCTTGAGCTTCCTTACCTTGTAAGAACAAGCTACAACATGTAGGATATTGGCAACTGAGGAGTTTTCTGTACACCGAGTCGTCTAAATAGAGCTAGTATTTTATTTTAAAATAACACGATGAAAACTTGCACTTTAGTGATATTTTAAGTAAAGCAAAGCAACAAGGTTGGCTATAGAATGAAGTCGAAAATCCTAAGGTATGGAGCCCCAATTCTATCCTTCACTTTAAGAAATTCACATTTTATCGAGTTTTAAGTTGTGTTAATCTGTATTTGTCATTTGCGTGCTCTATGACATTACTTCTCTTCTTTTTCTTTTGCTTCTGGGTCTGAGACCGTAATCTCTGCTTGATATTCACGTTAGAGTTTACCTAAAGGCGAAGCTGATTTAAAGTATCTTCTTTTTCTTCTTGGTTAATTTGTTCTGTTGCTACTTTCGAACATGTTTGTGCATTTTCTTTTGTCATACGCAATGACCATAATATTTTGTTACGTTCCATGGCTGATCTTCGTAGATGTATATTTGATACTGCTTCCTTGATTTCTTGCTACTCTGGATCTTGCTTGTCAGATTGATGATCTTGAAAGCAAATAAGCTGACCGGAATAACTCCAGATTACTAACGCTGCAGATTTATTCTATCCATTGTTGCTTCATCCTATGCTTATTACTTCAACTATGTAGTTCCTATCACTGCAGGACCAAAAAAATTAATGTCTAAATCTGTCGCGTTCTTCTTTGCGCGTGGCGGGTGTGTAATGTTCTTTTTTTATTTTTTATTTTTTATTTATTTATTTTTTCTGCAACAGAAATTTGGAACAAACACACATTTTAAGTAACTTGCATTCAAAGTAAAAATCAAAATCCCCATCTTAATATTGAAGGAGCAACAATACATTCACTTTCATCTGCATCATAAATATTGGAGAAATTTCATCTTCTTACAAGTAACGGTAGCTAGAGCTCCTCTATCCGTATTCCGTAATGCTTGTCCACCATAACGTAAAATTATTGCACTCTTCTTTATTCTCCTTCTCCAACCGAAGGGGTCAGCATGTCGTGACAAGAAGATAATGATCGAGCTACGAAGATTCACTTAAAACACAACCGTTATTACTTATTAGCGAGGAATTTGAAGAAAATTGGGGAGATCATCCCTTTCGACTTATATTTGGTAAACCACATTATGTGGCAGTTGATAGTTGAATCTAACCGCCAGTCGCTACAGCAGGTGATCTACAAAATATGGTTTTAAATAGACGGCATGATGGGAAATCAATACGCTGCTTTCATTATCTGTCAAAAAATGCATGCTTATTAGCTTCAAAGAAAGATGAAGACAATTCTCCCACGAGTCCATTCGAATTCAAAGTCTGAATGAAGGAAATTGATCCTGCTTACTTGTACTTGATGCGTTTCCACGGTTTTTGCATACATGTATTTGATGCGTTTTCGTTGTTTTTTGTTTTGGTCGAATATGAACTCTGCTTTCTAAGTTTGTTTGTCATTTGTCTCAATCACGCTATAAAGAAATATACATTAAAAAAATAAACTACAAGCTAAAGCAATAGGTGCCAACAAAACCAAAATTTCCGCAATGCCAATGAAAATGTATCTATTTGACTTACTTAGTTTTGGAGTTATTAGATTAAGAACACACAACAATTGATTGACTTGTATGCATAAGTTGGATAAAGCTATAATTCCTATCTAACAACTCATGATGGTTTCTTCTTAAGTTAGAAATCAAATGTATTTGCACACGAATATATGCTAATAAGTAAACTACAAGCTAAAGCAATAGGTGTCAACAAACCAAAATTTCCGCAATGCCAATGAAAATGTATCTATTTGACTTACCTAGTTTTGGAGTTATTAGATTAAGAACACACAACAATTGATTGACTTGTATGCATAAGTTGGATAAAGCTATAATTCCTATCTAACAACTCATGATGGTTTCTTCTTAAGTTAGAAATCAAATGTATTTGCACACGAATATATGCTAATAAGTAAATTACAAGCTGAGACTAAGTAACCAACATAATCAAAATTTTCACGATGCAAGTGAAAATGTATTGACTTGACTTAGCGATTGTTACAGTATAGAGAGTGCAAATTTCAAGATGTAAAAGTCACATTTCCTGGAGACATAAATAGAAGTTCTACTTCAACTAGAGAGGGAGAAATTTCGAATTTTATTTACATTTTTCTCCTTTGCTAGTGGACTCCACCTCATAAAAATGTAAAACAAGAACATAAAGAAATTCAAGTAAAAAAAGAATCAGGGTCTAATGCTCTGTCTTCCCTGATCCTTTTCTTTTCTAGCTACAGGATCCATAAGCGTCCACTATTAAAGTGATCATGCACCGATATTGTTCTCATATTTAAGTTAATCACTTGGGCCAATTACTCTGTGCGGTATCAAACCTATTGAACCTCATATGTGATTATGTGGGGAGATGTATTTTATTTTTTTTTGCACCAAGAACAAAAACAAGTGACACGTGATGCAATGTTTTTGGCGCATCGAAAAATTTATCCGGAAAATACCTAATGACTAATTTGTGTTTATAAAATACGAATAATTTTTGCGTTACGTGAGTCGTGATGAATAATTGAAGTATTAAAAGTATGCAATTTAAAAAGTTTAAGATGTCACTCCAGTACACCGCGGTTCTTGCCTTCTGGGTACAGTCCAGAATCCCAGATAGAAATTTATAGGTAAAAAGGGGTTGATCGATTCTCTCTTCCCTTCTCGCTCCGCTCGATCTCTGTCACTCGGCTACTCTCACCTCAGTGGCCAACCCCACTCCAACCAGGTTCTCCACCAACGTATTATTTTTCCTACTAAAACTGGTTTCAAATTTCTGGGTTTTAGGATTTTATTATTTCTGACTTGTGGGTTTTTAATGAATTATGTTCTTCATAGAGCACAAGAGGTTATTAGTTCTTAGTTTGGATTGTTTGATGTTTTGTGCTTGTTCATCTGTTAGTTGGATGTATCTTTACTTGGACTGTCACAGTTTAGAATTTATGTTCCATATGTGGGCAAGGTTATGTTGGAGCTATCTTGGTCTTAGAATCTCATATTTAAAAGAAGAACAATTCACCATCTATGTTCATTGTTTTGCTCGTCAACTTATTAGTTCCGGCTCGATTCCTACTTTTCGCCTTCAATTATTTGCCCTACACTACCCACCTTGATTTTTTATGATAGCTAATAGCTCCTTCTACTTTCGATTATAATGCTCTTCATCACTGGCTTGTGGTGGTGATCCATGGTTGTTCTCCGACGGACTGATGCTCTGATTCTTAATATTCATATGTTTCTAGCTTCAGTCCGAATATTTTCAATCTATTCTCCTCATGTTATTGGAGTCTGCAGACAAGCTTTAGCTGACTCTGGTGATTCATGCTCATCATTCCATATAATTTACTTCCGTTCTACCCCTCTGGGATTTGGGGGCTTCAGGTGCAGAAGTTGGTTGTAGTAAAGTTATATAATTACTTTCTTTGTAAACACGTATATATTCTAGTTTGGTTACTTGTCGTCCAGAATACTTTTTCATATAATCCTCATGTTATTAGTCTATTGGCAAACTTTATATTTAGTCTTCTTAGTTCATCCTATGTTTTATACTGGTTTCCCTGTGTTTCACTTTCACCCTTTCGGGTACTTCCTAAAGAGTTTTATTTTACCTGCTAGGTAAAAAGTTTTCCTTTTGCTCATCCTTTCTGATATAATTTATGTTTCTTGCGCCAATGCATGTTTTGTTAAGTTATTTTTGAAGCTGTTAGCAACTTGTCATAACCTTTAAAATTTCCGACTTATTTTTCATCGCAAGATGTTTTTTTGTGTTTTGCACTGTAAGATATCTTTTCATTAAGAGCATGATCTGTTTCGCTGATGATCTCGTTTTTGTTAAGTTACAGTTGCTGAAGCAGAAGATCCTCAAATGGGAGACCAACCCACATCAAATCCCCCGATTGAATTGCAAGGGGATGAGTTTTGGCCGCTTTCAGAGAAACCCTTTTTTGAAGTCGTTATCGCAAAAGCAAATGTCAAGCCCTCTTATCAAATGGTAATGATCTTATCTCCCGTGATTGAAAGGTGGTGAGATATCCGACTATGTCAATTTCTTAACTGTTGATGCTTGTCCACATTAACACTTTGTTGCTGCTCAATCTTTTTTTGTCTTTGCAGTTATAGGAAAAAGTGATAATATGCATTACTGATATGCTAGTTTGGGATCATCATTTTATTAGCTGTGGTCTAGTTAATAATCATTTGTTGGGATAGGTGATCCCGGCCAAATTTCAACAAACACTACCTTCCTGTTCAATTCATACGGTTCTCATGTTTGGGGGCAAAAACTGGGAGATGACATATACATGCGGATCTGGTCAGAGAAAGTTCGATACTAACTGGAGAGAATTTGTCAATGACAACAATTTGAAGGTTGGAGATGCATGTGTATTCGAACTCCTGGAGTGCAGCAGCACAAAACTCATATTCAGAGTCCAAATTCTCAGAGGTGATATCCCATCTGAACTTCTACGCAAGCTGAAAGGTGAGACTGTAGATGCACCAATAATTATTGATTAGTATATTCTATATTGCCTGCCTTTTCATCGATGCTCTCATTTTCCTGAATGATATTATCGTCAGGAGCTAATATAAATTGAATATGTGGAACTCCAGCAGATCTTGTTAAGGATGCTACATCTGTATACTGTTGAGTCCCTTATGTTGTTCCAGTCTAGGCGTTATGGTGTAATCTGACATGATATTTTATATATGAGAATCTATTGTATGCACATTCGGATACGTTTGAAAGAATGTTATTTAGTAAAGTATTTAATTTCTCAGAGGCCTCCTTGAGGTTTCTGTAACTGTCCTCTTTAATAAGTTCTTACCGCTCAACTGACCTGCTGTCTCAAAATGCATCAAACAACATGAGGAATGAATCTGAAGGTCACATAATCCACTATAGTGACAATACTTGCTATTTCTGACGAGTTGGGAGGTTTTCTGTGGCTATCACGATTCTTGGCTTGAAGGACTACGTTGTCCCCAAGGGATTATTGAATCTGACGAAACTGAGGGGATGACACCGATTTGTTAAACCTTTAGGTTGTCTTTGTTTAGTCTGTACTTTTATTGGATAATTTACCAGATGGTGAGTTCCGTCATTTGATTTAAGATTGTATCTTTTCATTCTGTTTTTTTGTTTCTTTTTCTCTCAGAGTGAGCAGTTACTGGAAAAAAGAGCAGTTACCACTAGTTATGCTACATATGAAGATAGACCTTTACTTGATATAGCTATTTGACTGTCTCCCCAGCCAACTGTAGACAAGATTGTTTAGGCTTTCAAACCTTGGTTAAATGCAAAGAGTAGAATGTCAAAAAGGAGAAGAAAATCTCAATCCGTTTGAACTCCTGTAAATTGCAGCAGTTTATGTTGTAAAAGTGGAACCTGTTTATAAGGTTTGGGGCTATCTCAGGCGGTGAGGGGTTAGAGATAGCAGTTAGGAGCTTGGGATTAGGATAGATGATGAACTCGATCTGGACACCAAAAAACCCGGTTCTTACAGTCCTGTTTTTGTTGTTTATATGCTTCTGTGAATTGTACTTTGAAGCATGTGTAAAAGAATACATAAAAAGAATACAACAAAAACAGAAGGGTGAAAGATGGTTAGAACTCATCTAAAAAATTTCTAACATTCTCTTTCTGACTTCTTACCTTCGACTATGTTACATGTAATCTCTTAATCTTCTCAGTCTAACATGCATATACTCATCGCTTATGTCTATGTTTCATTTGAAATCCCACACTTCTATAAGCTTTTCCCGAAGTTACCATTATATGAAAGCCCACACATCTATGAGCTTTTCCAAAAGTCACCATTTATAAAAATATGAAAATTCCAAGCTAAGAGGAGGTTTGTAAGGAGGATTCTGTGACTTGTGTCTGATTTCTGTTCCTCTCAAACCGATTATAAGCGGTCCTTGTCCGTAGGAATAGCAAGAAGCTTGAAGTTAAACCTACTATTGAAATACAGCCCCACCATATGAATGTCTGCCTATAGCATGACCTTCCCATGCACAATGTTGCATCCCTTAACAAGCTCACTGGGGTGGTTGAGCTTCCTTCATTGGAATCATATACCAAAGCTGCAAGAAGGCCATATAGGAGTGAGCCAATTGGGATGTTGGTGATGAGGATGTTGTGGTTTACACCGGCGCTGTTTGGGCCGAAAAGCTCTGATGTGACTGACACAGCTGCAGAAAACACAAAGCCAGAGCTTATCCCGATTAAGCCTGTTCCGGTACGCAGCATTGCCTCACTGCCTGATGCGGCCAGCAGAAAGAAGGCAATTGGTGTTGGCACCAGAGCAACCACTAGCCATCCAGTCCTTGCAAAATAGACCTTGCTGCATTAGCAAGACGCAGGTTAGGTTTTATTGCATCTGGTTTTTTCTCATTCTCCAATTGATAAACCAGTAGTTTTTTAGATACATACTCACGCAGGAAATCTGGTGCAGCTGAGAGCAAACGGCCGAAGAAGGAGCATGAAGAATATACTGTGACAAGAGAACTAGTCAGGGAACTGTATCCAAGTGATTCTGAAATCTGGCCTAGATTGTTGCTGTAGACCAACCCAATAGTTGCCCCACATAAGTATGCAGCATAGTATAGCCAAAAATCCCACCGGCGTACGAGCAGCCTAGCTGAGTGCTCTTCACCTAGCACTGTCAACCTGTCTTTTCCCATCACCTTCCCAAAACAAGCGAAACACCCAAAAAAGCCTTCCCTGTGTATCAGCCCATACGAACTGGTGTTGGTGGGATTTGTGGCATTCGTGGCATTATCATTTTCACTTCCAGCAATGAGTTCCTTATGGAGCTCAAGATCATCAGTGTCAACCAGATTGAAGGTTGACGAGATTTCAGAAAGGAAGCTTGAGGGGGAGTTCCTACGAGCCCACTCACGCGCATATGCCATTCCAGGCAGAGACAGAGGTAGGATTAGGAGACAAATCGCACCAACTAAGAGTATCCGAGCTTTTGACGCATCAGATGATAGTGAGTTGAGGAGGAGGAGATATAGGCCTGTGACCACAGCTAGGATGTATAGGCAAAGAAAAATCATGGAGTCACGGCGAGTGGCCTCAGCGGGAAGGGGCTGAACTGGGGGCTGACGGAGCACAGGGATGAATATAACGACGGATGGGAAGAGAGGAACTACAGCATTAAGGAGGAGGTAGATGGTATCACTGTTAGGGTTTATTGCATTGGCAATGAGGGTGTAGAGGGCTGCACTTATCCCATTGTAACTGATTGAAAGGGACAACGCGAGTGCGCGGTTGGCTTGGAAGTGTCTGATGCATAGAACATAGCAGACTGTGTTGAACCAGCAGATGCCGGATCCAGCCAACAAGCATAGAAGGAATACCTGCCAAGCCAAAACACTTAACATTAATCATCTGGTTAGTTGTTTTATGATCCTCAATCTTCCTTCGGTTTTTATTTTGATCTCAATAGTTTTTTGCTGCTTTTTCATTACTAGCTCCTAATGAAATGAGGATCACATGGCCCAACTTGTGTTGTGGCCTTATTCTTTCTTTGAAGCTTTTGCCTTATTTACTCAAAGAAATAAACCTTATTTGCTAGGGATTGCAGCGTAAGTAGTTAAGAACGTTTATTTATGCACTTGAGGTCATGTGTACTAATACTTTGTGAGTCAATATTGGTTCTTTAGAAAGAAAAAAAGTTTATTTGTAGCAATGATCTCTGAATTTTATCCCTAGTTTAATTTTAAGGAAAACTAATGAAAAGGGCTTGAAAACTTTGAGTTTTAATGATAAGGACAAAATAAAGGGTAAAGTGAATAGTACCAGGATTGACTTTTTAGTGTAAAAATGTGGTTTTTCGTTAAAGTGAACAATACCGGGTGCTTTTCGTTAAAATTCCCTTAATTTTAGTCTCTGAATTTTCATATTAGTTTTTCTTAGTCTTCGAAATGTGTTGTACCATTGGTCTTTTTCACTAATGCCGTCTATTTCTCATTAACTTCAAGGGTATATTCGAATTGTATCCCACATAACTAAAAAAATTAAAATGTGAAGAAAAAAAAAATCTTAAATATCAGAATTTTTTTTTTTGAGTAAGAAAATTGAATACATATAATTTTTTTTTCGTAGCTTAATATGTGATTTGTTAGTTATTTAAGTCCAACCGTAGATTGATCTCCTACCAACTTTGAAATCGCGTTGCCAAATATCTACAAGTTGCTAAACTCCCAACCCTTTTTATTTTGTATTTTTGTAATTCAAATTTCATTTGTTTCAAGTTTTAGATATTAATTTATAAATTATCATTTGTTTTTTAGTTTCTTCTATTGTTTTTTGAAGTTTTAAGCTGAAGTTCCTAATAAAACCCTAGATTTAACGGAAAAAAGACGGAGTTAGTGAAAATGACCAATGAAGCAACACGTTGTCAAGTTTGGGTACTAAATAAACTAATATGAGAGTGTAAAAAATAAAGTTAAATTAGAGGTAAAGTTCAGAGATCATTATTACAATTAAGCCAAAAGAAAAACACAAACAAATCTAACTTAGTTTAACAAAACAAATAGTTGATTTAGGGAAAATAGATTTACCCTAACATTATCCATTGTCGTATATACTTTTGTATCTGTCACACCGACTTGCATATTTCTATTGTTAATTTAATACAATATGCTTTACTCTAACATTGATTTAGTTTTTGTCAGAAATGATATTTTTAGGTCCACAACTTTATTATTTCATTTTGTGATTACAATGATATAAATTCCTAGGGTAGGATTTAAGTTCAGCCAGAGTGAACCAATCATGATAATGTCGTGTTGAACTTGTCATCAGCGGGACACTTCCAAATGAAGGAAAATCCTAGACTGAAGTACTAAGCGACTCCCAACTTTTATTTAGATGTTTTCTTCCTGCATGCTAATAAAAAAACAAAACAAAAAAGAGAGTGAGGGAAAAAAAATTCGTCACCTCAGTTTTCTAGTGTTTTTTGGGGCAGATGGAGTCCTCACTGAAATGATGTGCTTGTTTTCCTATGATTGGCTGATTAGTTGACTTATTAGGACTCGAACCAAGGGGTAGAAAACCGAGCACATCAGCTTACATGCTTTTGTGGCCGTGGAGGTTACAAGTTCACCAATTTTAGGCCTAACTTTCCCTTCACTTTCCCAAGAAAAAAAGAAAAATGACTCCAAAAAAATTATAACCGAAATTGCAAGAAAAACACATGAACACATATATCCAAAAAAAACCAAATCCACAAATATATGACAAGGAGGATAGAAAACACGTTGAAGTATGGTATCGACTTTCACTCCCGTTTTCTATTCTTGCATTCTGTTGATTCTTCATTGATTCAAAGAAAGAAAATGGGAGTGCGAGAATCACATAATTCCGTTGCAAGAATTAAAAGAAAGAAAGACTAGAGCTGACTAACCATGACATAGGGCAGAGAGATGATTCCTCGAATGACAAACCATTGGAGGCCATAACCAACCAAACCCATGAAGGCAGCCATGAACATAACAATCCACAAGGGAAAATACATGAGAGAAACCCCAGAACACCAACCCAATGCCTTCCCCATATCCGAGGCCACCGATAGATAGTTGAGCTGCACCTGAGAAATCCCCAGCACAGATTTCAGTTCAGAAGAATACGATGCGAAATCAAAGTTTGTCCCTGTGAATGCCTGTATCCACGTTGCCGCCACAAGTATCATCCATTTTCCTGATTGCCCTACCATTCTTTCTCGGCCCCCAAAATCTTTGATTTCTAATTCAAATCGTTCTTCGAATTAGAAACCAAATCCGCAGAGGATATAGAAAAAAAGGAAATGGGTTATGGGGTTTGAGGGAGAAAGAAGGGGCTTTAGGGGTATGATTTGTCCTGGGATTTGGATTTGATTGATATTTTGATAGGTGGCATAACTATATCTAGCAACTGCTAAATTCGTACATGGTTGTGTTCGTTGGCGCCCTCGTTTTCATGCATCAGTTTCTCTCTCCTTATTAGCTCTTGGATCTTTTTACATCTAAGGGTCCAAATTAAAAGTTAAGATGATCGTCATTGAATTGATAGGTGACGTGGCAATGACGTGTAAATAAATTAACATAAATCTCAATTAATTAAAAGATTTAAGAAAAAAAATTCCCATTGCAAATAGAGCATCCATCTTCCTAAACCGCTATACGCCATTGTCCATCAAATAAAAAAAAATGACCATAGTTACTGAGTTCAAAATAAACAAAAGAAGACGAGAAGATTGTCATTAATTATTTGTTTTAAATTATGAAATATGAACAAGAAACTGGAAAGCTTCCTTTCGTGTAGTACTGACGAAATTAATAGCCTTAAGATTTGGTTTCTAAGCACCTTTATACATAAAATGGTTCAACTTGTTTGACAATCTAAATAGTTTCCTCCCCTTATGTCTTTTTCTTTTCCTAGGACCACATGCTTTTCACATCACCATCATATATTCTACTACTTAATTCTAAGTGCTTTTCCAAATCAGAGGTTCTGTTTGTTCGACAATCCCCCATAATTTTGTGTCCTTCGTTTATGGGTTTGGGTAGTCAAATTCTCGTTTTTTTTTTTTAACAAACGATATTATCTACATTAAGGGGGAGTGGAATGACCTTAGCCTCACAATAGGCTAGCAATAATGTAGTTTAAATTCGCTATTGGCGAGAACGAATGTGAATAGTCGTTTTGATAACATATAATTCATCATATTTAATTGGGCTGTTCGGTAGATGGGCCGGAAGGGGAATAAAAATGGGCCTTGATTGTACCAAGTTATTGCATTTCGACCGATGGGCTTGAAAATACAACCCAACCCACTAAGTAAATGAAGACCGGTACATGGAGAATTATTTTGATGATGGTTGAGCACACCCAAATGTGCACTTAACTTACTATAGCCCAACAACATGGTCGTCAAGAACGACATATCGGTAAATCACAAAGATGAACCGTTAACGTTATTGAAGGCAAGAAGCGTAAATGACAACCATCATCATTTGGTACGATCCATAAATGGCCTCTTACAGTTCGTTTGACTCTCTTGTGTTTGCAGGTATTGTTCATATCGTTCGTCTTTGTTGTCGTAAACAATTACTTCATAGGAGGCGAAAGATATATGTCCATGTGACAAATCAACATCTTTCATGCTTGACAAATAGTCTGAACATTCATTGTCACGTTGGAAATGTGCCATAAAGCCAATCATGAGATGATACTTTACGAGCATTTTACATATTAAACTAATCTAGTTTAATGTAAGGGCAAGCATTGTTGTTTTAAGTCATCTCATTAAATGTTATACGCTTGAACAATAAGTTAAAGGAATATGTAATTAAGATAATGTAATCTAAAGATGTAAGATTCATGAGACCTTTCTTGTTCATACACATATCCTAAATGTTTATGATCATATGATTGACAATTGGGCATTAAGAATTCGGATAGGATTGCCAAGTCACATTCAAGGTAATCATATAGCCAAGAGAATCACATTGGATAGTAGACATGAATAAACTATTAACCAAACAGTGTGATTAAGAATATTGATTTAGAGAAAGACCATATTGCATTATAATCCCAAATTAAATAGGTTCTCCAACATAAGAGATAAAAAAAAAAAAACATGTTTTCTAGATTGAGAGGAAAGAGAGTGATACCAAGTGGTTGAGTCAGACCAAATTTGAGTGAGAAAAAAACCCACTTGGGAATCTCTATCTTCTTCCTAAACAAATGACACAGACAGATAGAGAGACAAGACCTGAGTACTCATTTTCATCCATATGAATGGAGAAGGTAGATAAGATGGACAGTCACGATTCAACTTTCCAACCATCCGACGACAGGAAATGGAAGCCAAATTAAAAAAAAAAAAAAAAGTAATACTCGTGGACCTATAAGAACCGACCTGTTTGAAGCGAACCGGTTTAGATTCGATTCCTTTTCTAAAATAGCAAGGCCCATCCCGTTTTATTCCTAAACGAATCCAATCTGGGCTCTTTAATTTTGAGGTCGGTTTGGCCCGTGCCCACTCATAAATGACACTCATAATCAGGGGTGGTTTTGGTTTCATTTGGTTTGGTTTTTTTCCAAAACCGAAATCGAAACCGAACCAAAATTTCGATTCGGTTCGGTTCGATTTTTTTTTGGTTTTTTCGGGTCGGTTTTTTTTGTTTGGTTTTTGTTCGGTTCAGTTCCGATTTTTTTATTTTTACAAAACTTTATTTAAAAAAAATATATTGAATTAAGAAAAGAGCCTTCCATTGGTAGACTAATAATAAGACAATTGGGAAAGTGGGAAGGTAGCAGTACATATACAAGATCATACAAACCAATCCAATTCTATCAACAACCACTGCAAAGAAAATTGATAATTGTACAATTTTGAAAGCAAACAAACAAAAAAGCTGTTCCAAGTTCGAAAGCAGACCTAGGCACATCATTTGCATACTCAAAATAAATTGGCTTTTCAGAAGCCGCCTTCCAAAATATTCCTTTATAACCAATGGAATAAGCTTCTTAATTTAACCTAGTATGCTCCTTGGGAAAGCCCTTGGATGATAAAAAACAATTTATGAAATATGCATGTCCATTTTCAAACTTGGCAGTGAAATATGAATGCCCATTTTCAAACTTAGTTTCAAACTTGGCAGCGAAGTTCACATAAGAAACATCATGGGCATACATGTGGGCAGGGCCGGTCCAGAGATTTTTGAGGCCCAGGGCGACGTCAAAAAAAGTGCCCTAACTTCATATAATAAAATTATTTATTTTCACACATAAGACATCAAAAAAATTATACTTAGAAAAACATTTCAAACTCAATAATTTAGAAACACATAAAGACTAATTTATTTTGTATTGAGAGAGGGAAACAAAAAAACTTCGGGCTTACAAGTAGATAGATGATGAGTTTTGTTTTCCATCTGAACTTTGAATGCGTTTTTGAATAAATCATGAGATTTTTTTCTTATTTACTAACCTTGTCAATATGGGACAAAAAAATAATGATGTTTTCGAGTCTTTAATTGATATGCATTATTAATGAATGGGCACTAAATTAAACATTTTGATGACACATCATATAATTTGCAAATTTGGTTTACATATTATTCTTTGTTGAAGATTAAACTTGAATTAAAACGAATATTTAAAAATAACAACCCACATAGGTACTAGATAGTAACTAAAAATAAATTAACAACCAAACAAAAATTTGTAAAAATTGAAAAAAATAAACATGCACATAGAATTTCAAACTTAGGATCTCTTGTTAATTTTAAACAACAAAAATCGTTGTTTCTAATTAAACTTCTTGATCCTTTAACCAAATTTCATAAATTTATACTCTTATAAAAAGAAATTTGTAAAAAATGGAAAGTAAATAAGCACACATGGTGTTTTGAACCCAAGACCTCCTCATTATTTTCAAATGACAAACCACCACTTCTAGTTAAATTTGTGTCTCTAAGCCAAAATTTTTAAATTTATACTCTCATAAATATATATATAAATATACCACTCTAATAATTTTGGTGCCCCTAATTTTTTTGGGCCCTGGACGGTTGCCCTGCCTGCACTGGGCCTGGGTCGGCCCTGCATGTGGGAAAGCTGTATCAGATGGAGCAGGGTGCCACCATCACTCTACTTCGGGGCACTAGGTGGAGTTTTGACGACTCTGCTGGATGACCATGCTTGTTCCGTAAGACACATGATCTAATTTGGATATGGGCACAATATATCCTATAAGTCTTGGAGTCCCTACAATCTAGGGACAGGTGTGCTCCGTAAGTAATCATAACTCCTAAGAGGATGCAATATCTACTTACTAGATATCCTTTAGGATTCTCCTGGTTCTATCCTGAAAAGGTCTCTCTCCCACAGTATAAATACACCCATCTAGGATTCATCTACGGTAACACAATCTATATACTTGAATTCTTTTGCCCACTGCTTGAGTCTAAAATCATTCACTAACTTGACCGTCAGATAGCCTTTGGCCCTCATAGCCCCCACCTAAGGCTTGCTTACAGTTGCTTTACTATTTTGCAGGTTGCATAAGTTTGCTCGGATTTGTGCTCAACCACCGCTCACTTAGATGAGCGGATTTGATTCTAACAATACATTCATACCCTTGGATGATAAAAAAAAAAAAAGAAGAGAAGAATCAGTATATAGATGATAAAAAAAAAAAACAATGACAACTTTAATAAAAATCCATCATTATAGAGAGTTCCAGCATATAAGCAACAAACCATTAGTTCATATGTCTCAATTCAATTCAAACGCCTACTCAACTCCCATTTCCTCAATTCCCGAATTGGGTCACTCCCAATTGCCCACCTCCAACTTCCCATCATCCATCATTTCAACATATAATTATCCCATTGTACTATTAATAATCTAACAACTCATCTCAATAAACGGATGTGTAGCTATAACTACAATTTAGATACTTAAGCTTAGGTTTAAATACTTACCATAAAACGGCGTTGTTTTGAGTGTAAAGGAATTCGGTTTGGTTTCTGAACATCTAAAACCGAAACCGAACCAATAAAGTTCGGTGCAGTTAGGTTTTCCTTTTTCGGTTTCAGTTTTTTTGTTTTTTTGTTTTTTGTTTTTAGTTTTCGATTCGGTATTTGGTCTTTTTTTTTTATTTTTTAGTTTTCAGTTTTTTTGAACCCACCCCTACCCATAGTGTTGAAAGAAATGGTAACATCAATCTTGACATTGATTAAAGAATAAAAAGAAAACTATTATGAGTATTTTAAAATTTTAATTGTGTACTTCTCATGAGAGTATATTTATTTGTTAATATAGAAAGTTTGAAGTTTTTTTTCTTGGACAAAGGAGGCTTCATTAATGAAAGGGATAATTACAAATTGTGATAGATGGACCCAAGTCCAAACCAAACACAAAACCCAAACAAACAAAGCAAAATAAAAGAAAGTGGACATACCCAAGTAAATAGAGAGCAACATCCCAAGTCAAGATAGGCCAAGACAAGGCGGGAGGCCCATGTACACTTAGGCCCATAGGCAATAGTAAACAACAAACGAAAATGAACCCTAAACAAGAGCAGTAAACACACTCTTCCAATGCCGCCGTTGTGCCCTCCACGAAGGGAAACCACGCCCCAAACAGAAAAAAGGACCCAAACCAAAAGCTACCTTTGAGATTGTTGAGATCCATCAATCCACCAAGAAACACACCCTTATTACGTTTGTTGACTTTTTATGCAGGTTTGGTGACTTTTTATCTAGAGCCACACCTGTATAAAAAGTCACCAAACGTAATAAGAGGAGTGTAACATCCCGTTCCCAAATATTATGGTTTTTATAATTTTAAAATGGGAAATTACGAAAATACCCTTCAAGGAAAAAAACGTTGACTCTTGTTGATCGCCTTGTCATGTCACGTAAAATTGACTTCCTTGGTGTATCCTTGTAGCATCTATCACTACGAGCGTGTGGGCATAAGCGGAATCGAATTTGGAGTTACGATGAACGTTTTTCAGAACTACGAAGTCGATGGGCAAAATAGTCAATTCACTATTTTAGATATTTAGGTTGGATATTTTAATTAATTTAATATTATTATGGCCCGTGGGACCCACACCTACACCACACTCTCCACTATTCTCTTGCCACATGGTTTCCTCCCCATTCTCTTGAACTATTTCATTTTCTCTTTTTCCTTCTTTCTCATTGTCTCTCCCCGGGAAACACTCTCCTCCCTCAGCTCTTATCTCTTCTCTCTCATTCTTGGTAAACACACATGCCATACCACTACTCACCGCCTGCAACTCCGATGACAGCGTCGAGATCTTCTCTTCCCCATGAACTAACACCACCTCTATTCCCTCTCTTTCTTTTCACGGCCAACTTTGCAGCAACACTAATGTGCGGAATCGCCATTTTCTTTGACGAGGTTCCTCAGTTTTCTGACTTAGGTAAGGTTCGAGAACACATAAAAGTTCATTCTAATGACTTCTTGGTATGATTTTTGAGTTCCTCGTGTGATTTGGTGATGAATTGTTACGAAAATACCATGGGGAAACTTCCCTAGTTTTTCGGCAAGGAATTCGGCGGCTTTCGAGCCCTTTTCAGGCTAACTCCAATCACAGTTAAGGAAACTATTGGTACATTTCAAATCCTTGTTCCTTAGCTTCATAATGATTAATTTTAGTTAAGTTTTGGGGATGATTGGAGCTTGGGAAGCTCCAGCTTTCTTCTTCATGGAATCCAGTCGACCCATGATCTAAAACTGGGTCAAACCCGACCCACAATCCAAAACCAGCCGAAAAACCAGCCCGGCCAAATTGGGCCCGGCCCAACCCCAATGACTTAACCAAGCCCAAATTCGACTCG